TTTTTTGTAGTACAAGAGCTCTAGGGACCTTCTGCCTATTTCTGTAGTACCAGAGCACAACTAATATTCCTTTGAGCTTCACTAACAGCAATCAACAACTTTGATTTAGTTGACTGGAGTCCCCATGCACAAGTGGGCAGCAGTGTGTCACAGACGGAGGGGTTGTGATTTTTGGTGTAAATGCATCGACAGTTTGAAGTGTCAGGAAGTGGTGCTTGAAAGGACTCTCCCTGAGGACTCTGCATGACTTCAACTCAACAGTAGGTAACGACAAGGAAAACTGGCAGAAGAAGCAAGAGATCACCTGAACAAAACCAAAGTGTTGCTTAGTTCATGCTCCTAATAAATCTTTACTTCAAAGTAATCACATTTTTATTTAATCTTATAGGGCCTGTATCAGGAGGGTTGAGCTGCTAAAACACTCGGGTGCGCACTAGCTCGCTCATATGGATGAAAGTTTGCTGAGATGGTAGCAGATTTCCTGCTTGGATTATTCCAGTCCATCCCTGATGCTCATCCACCAAACTTCACAATCATTCAGCTAGCAGTTAGCATTTTGCTTATTACTCACCACTCTGGCCTGTTCATAGGATAGTTTTAATGTAGGAAAGGCGCCGATTTGAAGAAGTAATCCATTTGAAAACCCACTCCTGTACTGGCGGTGGTTTAACAAGCAGTCTGTGAAATCATGGTCACATGCTGGCTCAGTTTTTAAAGGGCCCTTCAAGATAAAATCCAACCATTTCTGCAGATTAAATTCTTCTTCAGGAAGACTGGACAGGAATTTTGTATCTCTTGCAAACAAAAATCCATCTTTAAATTCTAGGCATTATTTAAAGTGCAGACTAGATAAAAAAAATTAACTTCCTCAAAACTCTTGAGATAAAACTTCCCACAAGCTACACTGATGGACTGGGCATTAACTGGGCATAATTACTATAGTTTTTAATACTTAATCAGTATGCTTATGGATATGTGTGTGTGTGTGTGTGTGTGTGTGCGTGCGTGCGTGCGTGCGTGTGTGTGTGTGGGCATGTATATATGTATATAGGTGTGTGCGTAAATGAACATGTGTGTGGGTATACATGTTCTTATGTGTTTTTAGGTATTTTTATTCTTCATTTATTATGGTTGTTGTATGTTTTAGAGAGCGAACATCTACCGAAGACAAATTCCTTGTAAATGTAATTTTATTTGGCCAATAAATCTGAAATCTGAAATCTGAATCTGAATCTGATTAATGTTTACAGGCCAGGGAGGGGGGGTTTCGGACTTGAGACTACCTGGATGGGGAGTAGCGGAACAATGATGGCACAAAGCTTGCATTGTGTCCAGCCGTTTGCAATAGCTTAGCTCAGTTTGACACGGTTGAAGGACAAAAGCAGCTGAGACAGGAAAATGCATGCATGAAGCCAAAAACTGCATTGGGGGTGTCTTTCCTTGAAGAAATAACTACAACACAGTCAAAGCTCTAAAAAGTGGATTTTGAATGATATAGGACTTTTAACATAGATATGTTAAACAAATAAGACATTCACTTTTTCCTCACCATGTAATACATATTTAATGAGTTCTACAATGCTCATCTCCATGTGGAATCGGCTACTTTCCAAGTGCAACCTGGCAGATAATGGCTGTTTTGTTTAGTGTCTGATCTGCCTCAAGTACACAACATGAAATATTTATCCTCTGCTCAAGATTGCTCTGGAAAGCAGAAACAGGCTAACATTTTTTTGAGTCAGAGACACATAAGGGGTCTCTGACGATGCAACGCTGGACATATTTAGCAAATGTGTCATGTTTTATTGATGCAAGCATTCTGACCTGACTTTGGAGTCACCAACCTGATCAAATCTTCTCCATGCCTCATTTCATCGCTTTGAAGCGATAGCACTCACATGCTTGCCTGCTGTCTGCTTAGGACTTCTCCTAACCTGAACAGTGAAAATGTCTTTTGCACTGTTTGGTGTTCTGTTACAGATGAACACAATACAGGTGCTGGCCAGTAAATTAGAATATCATCAAAAGGTTGAAAATATTTCAGTAATTCCATTCAAAACGTGAAACTTGTACATTATATTCATGCAATGCACACAGACCAATGTATTTCCGATGTTTATTACGTTTAATTTTGATATTTATAGGTGACAACCAATGAAAACATCAAATCTGGTATCTCAGAAAATTAGAATATTCTAAAGGCCAATGAAAAAATGTTTGTTTCTCTAATGTTGGCCAACTGAAAAGAATGAACATGAAAAGAATGTGCATGTATAGCACTCAATACTTAGTCGGGGCTCCTTTTGCCTCAATAACTGCAGTAATGCGGCGTGGCATGGACTCGATCAGTCTGTGGCACTGCTCAGGTGTTATGAGAGCCCAGGTTGCTCTGATAGTCGTCTTCAGCTCCTCTGCATTGTTGGGTCTAGCGTATTGCATCCTCCGCTTCACAATACCCCATAGATTTTCTATGGGGTTAAGGTCAGGCGAGTTTGCTGGCCAATCAAGGACAGGGATACCATGGTCCTTGAACCAGGTGCTGGTGGTTTTGGCACTGTGTGCAGGTGCCAAGTCCTGTTGAAAGGTGAAGTCTGCATCCCCATAAAGTTGGTCAGCAGCAGGAAGCATGAAGTGCTCTAAAACTTCCTGGTAGACGGCTGCATTGACCCTGGACCTCAGGAAACAGAGTGGGCCAACACCGGCAGATGACATGGCACCCCACACCATCACTGACGGTGGAAACTTTACACTGGACCTCATGCAACGTGGATTCTGTGCTTCTCCGCTCTTCCTCCAGACTCTGGGTCCTTGATTTCCAAAGGAAATGCAGAACTTGCTTTCATCAGAAAACATAACTTTGGACCACTCAGCATCAGTCCAGTCCTTTTTGTCCTTGGCCCAGGCGAGACGCTTCTTGCGCTGTTTCTTGTTCAAGAGTGGCTTGACACACGGAATGCGACACCTGAATCCCATGTCTTTCATGAGTCTCCTCGTGGTGGTTCTTGAAGCGCTGACTCCAGCTGCAGTCCACTCTTTGTGGATCTCCCCCACATTTTTGAATGGGTTTGTCGTCACAATTCTCTGCAGGGTGCGGTTATCCCTAGAGCTTGTACACTTTTTTCTACCACATTTTTTCCGTCCCTTCGCCTGTCTGTTAATGTGCTTGGACACAGAGCTCTGCGAACAGCCAGCTTCTTTAGCAATCACCTTTTGTGTCTTGCCCTCCTTGTGCAAGGTGTCAATGATTGTCTTTTGGACAGCTGTTAAGTCAGAACTCCTCCCCATGATTGTGGTGCCTTCAAAACAAGACTGAGGGACCTTTTAAAGGCCTTTGCAGGTGTTTTGAGTAAATCAGCTGATTAGAGTGGCAGCAGGTGTCTTCTATATTCAGCCTTTTCAGAATATTCTAATTTTTTGAGATACCAAATTTGGAGTTTTCATTAGTTGTCAATTATGAATATCAAATTTAAATGTAATGAACATTGGAAATACATTGGTCTGTGTGCATTGCATGAATATAATGTACAAGTTTCACGTTTTGAATGGAATTACTGAAATATTTTCAACCTTTTGATGATATTCTAATTTACTGGCCAGCACCTGTAAGTGTACTGATAGCTTGAGGATGGTGTTGGAAGGCCTTGTTTTGTCTGACTAAAGCTTCACAGCTCTGCTCTCTCAAGCATGTTGAGAAGTTTTCTGCTGACTGCGAGAACTTCAGTTTGACCCCTGTAACACATTTCCAAGCCAGTGAAGGCCCTTTTTTTATTTTGAAGGCATGCTTATTCAAGAATATAATTTGCACAGCACAGACATGAGTGGGACCATGCTAAGATGAGGGCTTTTAGATCAATGTGGCTCCCTCGAGACCGGCTGACTTTTTGCACTGACAGCAGTTGAGCAACAGTGATTTTTATTTTATTTCAATTTTTTTGCAGGAAGGTATAAACACATCGGCCTTCTGGCTGATTAAAGTAAAGAAAAATAAATTCAAGCATGAAGGAAAACCCCATTAGCTGAAAGTGACTTTGTTTCAAGCTAGTCTCTGGTGTTACATTGGTGCACCAAAGTGTAACCATCTGCTTCACCCTGAACGTGCTTTTGCCTACTTAATGAGTTGCTGTGTTCCTCCTTTCCAACCCTCTGATCAGTTTACATCAGCAACTATCACACCTTTCTCAAGTTGCGTTGAGTGGTATTCATTTTATTCCAGGCACAATGGCATCTGCTTAGAAAGGCTGGTGGAAATATAACTGCTGGTAATTTGGGATATTTTGAGAGAGTTTATTATTTAAAACCCTAAATTTTATAAGACAATTTTTTTTGTTATAACTATACACTCCTCAGAGATTTCAACACTAAATACATTAAATAATTGTTATAACAACAGGCTGCTAAAAGTCTTTTACAGTTTATTAAAATCTGTCCTTGATATATACAGTACAGGCCAAAAGTTTGGACACACCTCATTCAATGTGTTTTCTTTATTTTCATGAACATTTACAAAGGGGCCAACAAGTGCTAGACACCTCTGGGAACTCCTTCAAGACTGTTGGAAAACCATTTCAGGTGACTACCTCTTGAAGCTCATCAAGAAAATTCCAAGCGTGAGCAAAGCAGTAATCAGAGTAAAGGGTGGCTATTTTGAAGAAAATAGAATATAAAACATGTTTTCAGTATTTTTCACCTTTTTTGGTTCAGTCCATAACTCACCAGCTGTTCATTCATAGTTCTGATGCCTTCAGTTAGAATCTACCAATGTTCATGTCATGGTTCTGAAAATAAAGAAAACACATTGAATGAGAAGGTGTGTCCAAACTTTTGGCCTGTTCTGTACATATACATAACAAATTCAGATCATTTAAGTCTTGTTATGAATTATGATGATGATGATGATGATAATGTTTTGTTTACTTTGGTACACTGATCATATGAGATCATTCTGATGTACATAAGTAGGGAAGTGTCCGAATGTATGATGCATTTTGTGATGTGAGCAGATGCTGGACAAGCTGAGAGACCGTTGGCTCAGCACCGGTTTGTGGATGAAGCTTGAACGGCACAAAACCGTAATCACAGAGCCACGAGGCGGCGGCAAGGGGGATTTCGACGAGCTACTTCAGATGTACTATGAGGCTGTCAAATACAGCGAGGGAATGAGTAAGCATCAGTAATGCATCAGACTAACTGAACACTAAAGCCTAGTTTATACTTCTCCATCAGCTTGTGTGCATGCACATGTACTGTCAAAAACTTTTTCCTCTTTTTACCTCTGGGTTGGTGTGTCAGTGTTGTGAATTAGTTCTCTGCCAGGAGAGGGTGTAGCACTTTTCTGGGATATCCTGCCATCATTACAGTCACATCTCTAGCGTGTACAGTATTGTGTGTTTACATTGTGTTAATGTGTTTATTATTTTTAATCGGGGCAAATTAAAAATCTCCTCCACCTCTTCATGCAGTTACCACCTCCAAGCCCACGTTTCCTGTACTTCCCATCCACCAATGAAAGTCTATGATATATCTTTGTAACCCTTCAGTCACGGTTGTGTTAACGTTTATATTTTAGACTTTTTCCCTGAGATGTTCTTCAGTCTGCTTTGTGTCTGTACCGCTAGACATCTTCTGCATTCATTTTATTTTTATTGAGGGCGGAATGGCGATGCTGTTCACGAGGTTATAGGAAGCAGCTTCCCGACCAATCACAGGCTTGTGGTCTCCGTCCCTTTTGACAGATATTTAGAATGTGGGGCTTTGCTCTGCCCATCCTTGCAAGCCTGTTGGAGAACCCTTGCGAACATCGAATAATGGCAATGCACGTCTCCAAACCTCCACAGGTGGAGAAGTATAAACTAGGCTTAACACTTATCTCATTAGTTAACACAATGCTGTCGTGTTACATTAAAACTTATGTATTACTAGAACAAATATCTACCTTTCTTTGTACAGTCCATGTTTTCTGTGTTGTAGCTGGTGCACTGCTGTTTGCCGTGTGCAGGGGTAAGGTCAGCGAAGGCCTGGACTTTACAGATGACAATGCCAGAGCAGTGGTCACCATCGGAATTCCTTTCCCAAACTTCAAAGACCTTCAGGTAGGTAGAAGATTGTATAATGTTAAACAACTCTGTAGTTCCTAACACAAAGTCAAACCAGAGAAGCTTCCATCCATCAGTTTTCATCATAAAGCATAAAGAATGTTCAAACTGTTTCAGAACAATAGGAAATAAAACAGATTCAATTTTTTTAAAGTGTTTAAAATAAAGAAAATCTGAATAATGGTGCAAAATCGTGGCTGGTTGAGGTAGAATCTTCAAGTAAAAAATAATCATAAAGTAAAGTGCACTACAACTTTGTTGTAAAAAATAAAATCTAAACTATACATTTAAAAAAGTGCAAATATTAGACACCAAACTTAAAAGGATATTCCACTCAAAAGTAAAATGTTGTCTGTTAGATTTTCGAGAGTTAGATAAGTGAGAAAAGGGATTTAGTAACGAGCTGAGTCATTCTCCTGATCTAGAAGCAGTAAGTTTTGCTTTAGCTTAGCATAAAACAATCTAAGTAAAAGGAAGGTTCTATGCTAGAACCGTGGTGGCAGTTGGCCACACAGGTGCCTGATTTAAAAAAAAAATGTGTTGGCTTTTAAAAATAATTTTGGCCGATAGCCAATATAGACGAAATTGAATATATTGGTCAGCCTCTAGCCTGAACTACCTCAGCTTGCTCGTTTAGACAAATATAAGTAGCAGTTCCACTGTAAATCTCTCCCGGATTTCCAAGCTCCACACCCCATCTCCGGTGCTGAGTATGGCCACCCTACAGAGGAAACTTATGTGGACTTTTATTCACACACAAACACACACACACACACACACACACACACACGCTCACACACACACACACACACACACACACGAGTGTTGGTGAGCAGTTATTTCAGCAGTGAGACAAACTCACCTCACACCGTCCAGAGTTTGTTCTTCAAGGCTTCTATTAAATCCACCGTGTTGACGTATTTTAACAAGTTTCCTCTAAGCTGCAGGAGTTAAAGTTTACATTACGGAGTAAAAGTTCGGCAGACGCGTTTGTTTATATTTGGCCACTGCGTGCCGGGGAGGGGGGACTTGGTGCTGCACACAGACAGCTGGTGTGATCAGCTCTGAAAAGCGTTGATCACAATTTGCAGATCACGTTTATTTTTCACGGAGATCGGCCGCAAACTCCTCTTCTGGTCTGCACACTAGGATTCGAAACTAGGAATCGAAATAAAAAACTTTGAATGATTATGGGAAAAGTAACAGTTGGCTCCGGTTCCAATCGATGCTCGATGCCCAACCCTAGTCGTCTCTGACTGTAGCTGTGGCAACTCTCTGTCTCTGCTCACTGCTGTGAGGAGCACACACTCACACACAGACACAGCACTGCCGTGTCTTGAGCTGCATGGCAGTCATTTAAGGGAGACACCAGACTTTTCCGCACGTCTTTTGTCCCACCCACATGCTCTGAGATTTCCCTAGTCCTGAGAAGTAAAGCTTGGTTTATGCTTGACGCATTCACTTTCCGCGCGGTGATGCGGCTCGCGGCTGGAACGCGCTTCACAACTCGCAGCGTTTATGGTTTGTGCGGCTCGTCTCTGCGGTGAGCCAATATTCTCCCAAACTGTAGGGGGCAGCATGGAGCTCTACGGCATGCATCCAACACCACACCATAGTAGAAGTAGAAATCACTGTTTACAACAAGGCATTCCAGCATTTTTAACAGCGTTCTCGTCTTTTCCGACAGTGCGAGCTATTTCTCTCCAAGAATTATTAACATGTTGATCACGGTGATCTCTGAGAGCTGAATCATACAAATGTCTGTATTTACGAACCTCTGCCGTGCCGGTCCGCCATGTTTTTCCGCGTCCGACTGTCCGCGTGGTTAGAAATTTTCCGAGGTGCGCGTTGCGGAAATCTTGGGCCGTGCGGAGACGCGGTGGAGGGGCGTGGTTGTTTAAATGACGCAAAATGACGCAACTTTTCCGCGCGGAGCCGTGCGGACCTCGCTGACGCGTCAAGCATAAACCAACCTTAAGTGTGTGTGTGAGTGTGTGAGTGAGTGATTGAGTGCCCTTCTGGTGTGGGACCCAGACCAAAGCCACCCAGCCTGGTCCGTGCTGGCCCAGATGTAAAACCATCTCAATTTCCCCAGGTCAGCCCGAAAGGACCACATTCACCTACAGTTGTGGTTTTTTAACTCCATGCTTAAAACCCGCTTTTGTGATCTTGCTTAACTTTTAGGGTTCTTTATCTGTTTTACTGAATTATGCATCTCCACTAGAGCTTAACGATTTTAGGAAAAAATTGAATTGTGATTTTTTAGCAGAAATTGCAATTACACTTTAATTCATAATTTCCTTCTAACAAAGGTACAACACTAGCCTGCCAAGCCATCGTGAAAAGATGGTCTAGGTTCTAATCTAGTACAACAAATCATCCACATTAATATTTAATTAATATCTAATCATACAATAAAAACAGTTAAAGCTATTCATATTTTCTCCCATTAATATATTTATCTTCATTTTACTTTTTATGTGCTTGTGAAGCAACTTGTGATTTTTTTCTAGCGAGGTGCTTTATATAAAAAATACATGTTCTTGTTCTACTCCAAAAATGCAAGGAGGAAATCTGATGGTAGAAATAGCTTCCAAATATATTAAATAACAAATATTGCACACAGTTTTCCCTGCATCACCAAGGCAGGGTGACTGCACGTTTTTCCTCACTAAAACTCTGCTATAAAACCTAGTTAATGCTGCAGTCAGCCCCGTGAGAGAGACGCACGCATTGAAAGAGACACTCTGACATGTTAGCTTGTTTGAATAATGTGTGCCATCAGAAAAATTCAAACCCCTTTAAAAAGAAAAGTTGAACTTTTAAGTCAAATAAAGTGCGCGACTCCGCACTCGCGCTGATGAAGTCAAGCATAAACTAAGCTTTAAAAATCCGCTTGAACCTACTACGATGCAGGAGTCTCTCTCTCCCTCCCTCACTCAACTACGGTGCCATTATTATTGGCTATAGCAGCGCTGTGTGTGGAATTGGGCTTGGCTCCGGATGGTACACCACACCGCCCTCCTCCGTGCTGCCTCTTGCCACCGCCGTTACACAGGGGAAAACCCCGGATGTAAAAAAAAGTCAACTCAACAGATCCTGGATCATTCAGGACTGCTATAAACCGCAGGTTTGACGGTCTCGTGATCGTGCTGTTTGAAATCGCAATTCCGGTCCAAAAATGATAGATTGTTCAGCCCTAATCTCCACTATGCAATATTTTAGCCTTTTTATTTTATTAGTATTTAATTTGTATTGTAAGCATCCATTTATGTATTTTAATTGGCTGATTGGATGTCCTTTGTTTTATCTTTAAGTTTTTATTCTTTGTTGTTATGGCTTGTTGGCCTAGTATTATTACTGTTCCCTGTGAGGCGCGTTGGTCAGCTCGCATGCTGTTTTTAAATGTGCTTGATAAGTAAACTGGTAATGTTATGGTACAGTCCAGGCTGTTTCAGGGACAAATGGAGTATCTGCATGGAGGCATGAGTAGCTCAGTAGATTGGTTGTAACTCAGTAGAAAATAATATCAGCAAATGAAGCCAAACAACTGACGTTTAAAATTGGCAAGTTTCTGGCAAAGCAGAATAAAGGGAAGTAAAATAAGCAGCTGCTTTAAAATGGCAGTTTTCAAAACTCTCGGCGCATAAAAAATGTATTAGAAATCACTAACATTGTATTTTTGTTTGCCTTATCCAACGAATCATCGTAAAAAATACCCCAACTGCATTTCCTCTGGTTAATGAGCGCTGCTTTTTACGCCACACAACTGCTCTCCAATCCATGATCAGATTATATTACAGCATACTTTGACAGAATAAATTGTCTTTAATGTTATTAATGTCAGTGGATGATTTTTGGCACTTATCAGTAATGCCATTCACTGTTGAAACGATCACAATAGTCTCAAGTCTCGGCAAATTCCTACAAGGGCCAATGCTGGATGGAGACACAAGTCAGCGTAGTTTCCCTGTCACTTTCCCCCTTCCCTAAAATGTCTCCAAAATCCCATAATAGAGACCCAGCTATAGTCTGATTGAGCTAAGAGGACCACATCTTTCACAAAAAGCAGAGAGGAGATCCAGCTTCCACCAAACTTAACACTCTCCATCCCAAAGGTGCACATAGAGATTCTGTCCATAACGGTGATGAATATCACTCCTGAATAAGAGCTGGCAAACCAGTTCAATTTTATCCCATCTGTATGAAGTTGTCAGGGCAGATAGAGAAGAGGAGAAAGCTCAATATTTTGATTAGTGAAGACTGAAATGCAAGCAAGTACTTGGTAACAAAGCTGTTCAAATCATGATAAATTGGGATTTCACTGTAAAACATTGGTGATGTATGTCTACCCCCAATAACTCCCCCATCAGTGGATGAATTAATCTATACACGCACACATGCACGCACGCACACACACACACACACACACACACACCTGCTGTGGTGTGTTCCCACATTTAAAGTCAGCAGTAGCATGTGACGGCTTGTTAGCATGAACCGTTAAGAGCAAATCATGATATTTTTGATAATATTGATTATTTATCTTCCTTATCTTTTAGATTTGACCCTTCAGTTACTGTAAGATTGCAAAAATATAAACTAATTCTCATCTTCCAGCCAGACGTGGACGGGCTCACACAAACCCACACCAAATAAGAGCATCCCTTTCAGGTGATCCGTGAAAAAAAATCCCAAAGCGATGTTTCTGTGAGCACCCCGTCCTTAGTGGATAAAGTTGACCTTTAAGTTTGAAGCTCCCCCACCTCCCACTTTTCCTCCATTTCCTCCCCCTTCTGTCAGAACAAGATGGAGCTTTCACTAACCGGTTCTGTCAGTGTAGAAGACGTGTGAGTGACTGAAGCTTTACTTTAGCCTTTCACCTTCGCTGTCAGCTTCTCCTCCATCAGCGTTCATGCCATTCTCATAGCTCTCGGACTTTTTTGGCTTATTTACTGAATTTGCTGTATTTATCTTGACATTGTTAAGTTAAAATC